CAGTTACGGAATGTTTCCTCATGAGTATAATTCCTTGGCTAATCCCTCCTAGGTGACCTGGATGGAATTATGCGATCCTTCCCTAAGCCATAGGACGTCCCACCACCCAGTTGACTACTTAAAAATTGTGAAAGTCCTCAATGGCACTGCCCATGATAAAACAGGCTTTTGGACACTAGAGTCCTCTATCTACACTCTTAGAAAAAGGGTTGGCTGTCCCCATAGGAGAACCCTTTTTGGTTCCACATAGAACCCTTTTGGCTTCCATGTAGGACCCTTTCCACAGAGGGTTCTACATGGAAGCCAAAAGGGTTCTATGTGGAAACAAAAAGGGTTATTCAAAGGGTTCTCGTATGGGGACAGCCGAAGAACCCCTTTAGGTTCTAGATACACTCTTAGAAAAAAAGGAGCTAGCTCTATGGGAGCAGTCAGAGGAGTTAGCATTACATTCAGTCAGTCTGTGTGAAACACATTTCCAAGGGTTTTAATTCCCCAAGGATAGGCAGGCACAAAAAAGGTCACACAAAAACCAAGTCCCATCCATTCTCCCAGCAACACACCATAACAAGCTCTACAGTAGCCTATACTAACAAGATACAATATCACAGCTAGGATTTCATGATTTTTAAGGCTCTTTTTTGTAGCCTAAACTTGAATAAGAAAATGTGGTGCATAGCAAATAGGCCTACATTAGCATGAAATGTTGACATGCTATTTTACACCCCATTTGATATGAAAAACTCTCTTCTGCCTTGAGAATACAGCCCAATATTGTAGTGTATATGCCATGTTCATCGTAAGAGCTGGTCCACATGGATCATTAGTCATCCTTTTACCCTGCAGCAGTTACATTACAACCTTGCTGCAATAAGAATCACATCACCTGGAAACACATCACAGAGGATAGGGCCCAGTGTGTGTTGTGTGTGTGTGTGTGTTGTGTGTGTGTGTGTGTGTGTGTGGGCACATTATTTGTGGCAATGTGCGCACAAGTGACAGCAGCCATGTCAGAGGGCAGTGTGGGAGGTATGTGTATCTCAGTGTATCTCTGTGGAAGTGACACCAGGAGGCCAGGCCAGCACAGTAGGCCTGTCTCTGGGTTGAGAGCAGAGGGCTGTAATAACCAGGCCCAGATGGGTTTTGTGTATTAAAAGGCAGGTGGGTGGAGACGAGGCCTGCTAGCAGATTAACAGGTCGGAAGGCAGAGGGCATGCACATATCACTGCTTAATAGGATAAACTGCACTGTGAAAATGTGCTCTGTATTAAATCTAATTACCCTGCAGTAATGGCACAGCTTTTTACGATGTCCGTTGTGGCACGCCAATGTTCATTTACTGTAATGTTAATCTAAGTGGCTCCAAGTCTAGGGGAGCTGTGTGCTGCTTTATGAGACAGACAGTGTGCTTTTAGAGCAGGGGTAGACAACTAGATTCATCCATGTGATCTTAAGTATGCTCCCTCTAATTCTCCCACCTCTCTCGCTCGCTCTCTCTCCCCTCCCGGAGGACATGAGCCCTAGCACCATGCCTCAGGACTACCTGGCCTGACGACTCCTGTCTGTCCCCAGTCGACCTGGTCGTGCTGCTGATCCAGTTTCTGCTGTTCTGCCTGCGGCTGTGGAACCCTGACCTGTTCACCTTCTACCGGGCCTGCTGTTTCGTTTCATTTCGACTCTCTCTCTCTACCTCTACCTCTACCTCTACCTCTACCTCTACCTCTACCTCTACAGTCGTGGTCAAAAGTTTTGAGAATGACACAAATATTAATTTTCACAGAGTTTGCTGCCTCAGTTTTTATGATGGCAATTTGCATATACTCCAGAATGTTATGAAGAGTGATCAGATGAATTGCAATTAATTGCAAAGTCCCTCTTTGCCATGAAAATGAACTTAATCACAAAAAAAAACATTTCCACTGCATTTCAGCCCTGCCACAAAAGGACCAGCTGCCATCATGTCAGTGATTCTCTCATTAACACAGGTGAGAGTGTTGACGAGGACAAGGCTGGAGATCACTCTGTCATGCTGATTGAGTTAGAACAACAGACTGGAAGCTTTAAAAGGAGGGTGGTGCTTGAAATCATTGTTCTTCCTCTGTTAACCATGGTTACCTGCAAGGAAACCCGTGCCGTCATCATCGCTTTGCACAAAAAGGGCTTCACAGGCAAGGATATTGCTGCTAGTAAGATTGCACCTAAATCAACCATTTATCGGATCATCAAGAACTTCAAGGAGAGAGGTTCAATTGTTGAGAAGAAGGCGTCAGGGCGCCCAAGAAAGTCCAGCAAGCGCCAGGACCGTCTCCTAAAGTTGATTCAGCTGCGGGATCGGGGCATCACCAGTGCAGAGCTTGCTTAGGAATGGCAGCAGGCAGTTGTGAGTGCATCTGCACGCACAGTGAGACAAATACTTTTGGAGGATGGCCTGGTGTCAAGAAGGGCAGCGAGGAAGCCACTTCTCTACAGGAAAAACATCAGGGACAGACTGATATTCTGCAAAAGGTAAGGGGTTTGGACTGCTGAGGACTGGGGTAAAGTCATTTTCTCTGATGAATCCCCTTTCCGATTGTTTGGTGCATCCGGAAAAAAGCTTGTCCTGAGAAGACAAGGTGAGCGCTACCATCAGTCCTGTGTCATGCCAACAGTAAAGTATCCTGAGACCATTCATGTGTGGGGTTGCTTCTCAGCCAAGGGAGTGGGCTCACTCACAATTTTGCCTAAGAACACAGCCATGAACAAAGAATGGTACCAACACATCCTCCGAGAGCAACTTCTCCCAACCATCCAAGAACAGTTTGATGACGAACAATGCCTTTTCCAGCATGATGGAGCACCTTGCCATAAGGCAAAAGTGATAACTAAGTGGCTCGGGGAACAAAACATCGACATTTTGGGTCCATGGCCAGGAAACTCCCCAGACCTTAATCCCATTTTAGAATTTGTGGTCAATCCTCAAGAGGCGGGTAGACAAACAAAAACCCACAAATTCTGACAAACTCCAAGCATTGATTATGCAAGAATGGGCTGCCATCAGTCAGGATGTGGCCCAGAAGTTAATTGACAGCATGCCAGGGCGGATTGCAGAGGTCTTAAAAAAGAAGGGTCAACACTGCAAATATTGACTCTTTGCATAAACTTAATGTAATTGTCAATAAAAGCCTTTTACACTTATGGAATGCTTGTAATTATACTTCAGTATACCAAAGTAACATCTCACAAAAATATCTAAAAACACTGAAGCAGCAAACTTTGTGAAGACCAATAATTATGTCATTCTCAAAACTTTTGACCACGACTGTACATGCTCGGCTATGAAAAGCCAACTGACATTTACTCCTGAAGTGCTGACCTGTTGCACCCTCTGTAACCACTGTGATTATTATTTGACCCTGCTGGTCACCTATGAACGTTTGAACATCTTGAAGAATCATCTAGCCTTAATGACCATGTACTCTTATAATCTCCACTGGCACAGCCAGAAGAGGATTGGCCACCCCTCAGAGCCTGGTTCCTCTCTGCCTTTCTAGGGAGTTTGTCCTAGCCATTGTGCTTCTACATCTGCATTGCTGCTCTTTGGGGTTTTAGGCTTGGTTTCTGTATAAGCACTTTGTGGCATCTGCTGATGTAAAAAGGGCTCTATAAATACATTTGATTGATTGATAGAGGCTATATAATAGAGCACAGACAGGCTGGTTGGATAAAGTCTGAGTAAGAACATCAATCCAGTCTTCCATATTGGCAGCTGCTGTGTTTTTGGCTGAATCTCTGTCTACTTTTATCAGAACACCTGAGAACCACCAGCCCGGACCATAACGAACAGCTGTGGCCAGTCTCATACTGAATCTACTTTGAGTGTCCTACCTAGACCTAGACACTTCTGCTATTCTTATACACTGGAATAATAACACACAACCGTTGGGCTACTATACTGCAGAAGCATAATAGGTCTAGTCTAAATGAATGCTGACACAATAATTATACAGTAGCCTGTTTTAGCATGTTTCAGCGCTGAATTAAAGCCAAATAAAGCATCATGTGCTTCCTAGGGAAATTATTTCGGAGAGAAAAAAAAACACACTCCTCCCGACCAAAACAAGTCTGACCAGCCTTTCTTTCCTTCTGCATAACACAAATCTCTATGATATCATCTGATTTACATAAACTAATGACCCATCAACAGCTAACACTTGGTCTTAGACAAAGTGTGTGTGTGTGTGTTTGTGTGTATGTGTTTGTGTGTATGTGTGTGTACGTGAGAGACAGAGATACGTGTACAGGGAGGTGCTGTGACAGCCGGTCACGGCGGTGAGAATGATCCTATCTGCAGAACAAGTGCTTGGGAATTGTCTGTGGAGGCGGAGAGGCGTTGAGCACTCGGGCAGGTCTGCTTGCTGGTGGCACTGACATCAGGTAGAACGAGAGAGAGAGAGAGAGAGAGAGACAGAGAGAGAGAGAGGGTAAAGAAAGAGAGAAAGGAGAGGCATATAGACAGAGTGGGAGAAAAACTAATACAAGAAAGATTGATAGGGAGGAAGAAGGAAAGGAGAAGTGGAGAAAGAGGAAGAGGTAGAAAAAGATAGAGTGAGAGGGGTGGGGAAGGTAGAGAAAGAGAAAGAGGTAGAGAGAGATCGAGGTGTGTTAGCGAGCCAGTGTGTGAGACTGTCAGAGTGGGAGCAGCTCAGGCTGAATTCCACAAGTGCAAGATGATGCTTGTCTGCTCGAATTGTATAGAGACGGAAAGAAAACATGACAGGAGCAGTATGGATGGACGGGGAGAGAGGCTTAGCCCATGTTTGTTTTAACACAGTGTGTGTGCTGGAGAGGCTAATGAGGACAGATACTTTCTGACAGGGCATGGAGACAGCAGCCTGGGTTACATAGTACCTCTCTGTCAGTGAGTGTTGAAGCTGCTGGATTGGTGTGCAGAACAGCCCTTTAACCAGGCATTAGTAATAGAGTAGTAATGACTCTGGACTAGACTTTAGCTCTCTGTATTCTTTGTGGGTATTGAGTCTGGTCTGGGATATAGCTCTCTGTCAGTGTGTGCTGAAGCTGGATTGACCCGTAGCTCTCAGTTTAGAGTCTTGAGCGGGCCATTGATAGACTGTTGATTCTGCCTATTGAGTCTTGGCTGTTTGAATGTTGAGTGTAGGCCGTACCTGGTTGAGTGCTGGCACAGATTTGGTCCCAATGCAGGGTGCCAGTGTGAGAGATGGGAGGTCCTGTCCCTCCAGCTTCCGTGACTCCAGACAATTCTGTCTTTGACGAATCACCCCCGACTTAGAGTCCGAATCATCCGGCACTCTGAAAATACACAACACACATTTTATAAATGTATTTTCTTGATTTAGAGTATATTCCACAATGCAGAATACGAGGCAGATGTATCATCTCTGAATGTAATGTGTTGATACTCACGCCTGGGATAGATTCATGGTGGCGTTTTTACATGCACATAAATAACTATTTATTATAGTGATTAAAATTGAGGCTAGTGTGTCATGTTCCATGGCCTGGCATTAACGCTTCCTCAGACAATGTCTGAACTGAATTACAATAAATAATCAAATGTACAGGAAGAAATAGCTGTTCACATGACAGAGCCATTTATCAGAGGTAGGCAGAACCTACGGCTTTGGGGAGGGGGGCTGTGTGTGTGTGTTTGTGTGTGTGTGAGGTAAGTAATGTGGTCTGCTGCCAGTGTGGGTTTGTGGAAGCTTTACAGCCCAGCTCATTCACTTAGTCAGCAAACAGGAACCTGGAACCAGCAGCAGTGAATCCATCACCCCCCCCCCCCCCCCCCCCACCATAGTTAACGATACTCATATCCCTTATATCCTCTGCGTGCTCTGCAAGTGTTTTGTAATAGCCTACGACTGTACTTCTCTCTGTATCTCACTCTCTATCTCTTGTATGTCTCTTTAACATTCTCTGTCTATACTCTTCCTCACTACTGTCCTTTCACTGGGACTTGTTCTCCCTATATAAACTTTCTCTCGATTCACCTTTTTCTTCAACGATCGTTTTACAGTCTTTTTTTCTTAGTATGCAATTAACGGTGGTTCCAAGTCATCTAAAGGTCAGACCTCTCTCCCCTGAGTCCACATTGTTAATTTCAGTCCATGGGATTAACCTAAACTCCATCACGCCTGGCTGTTGTTGTATCAGTCAGATTGAGCTGCAAGCCTGGCTTTTGAAGCCAATGCCAGGGGGACAGAGCAATCAGGGGACAAAAAAAGAGAGGCCTGAATATAAAAAATAATAATTAATCTATTCTGAATGAACCATAATGGGATGTGTGTGAGTGGCCAGCCGCACACACTCACTTGAGCTCTGGGTAGACGTTGTCCAGATACCACTTGAAGGATTTGCACTTGAGAATCTTGCGGAGCTCTTCTCTGCCATGAATGCTGATAATAGAGAGAGATGGAAATTAATATTAGAGAGAGGAACCTTTTTATAATACTGCCCTGCTCTTATCAGAGAAAAGGCAGTGCTACACACTTATACACAGGCAAGCACATTGCTCCAATGTGTAATGCAGGGCAACCAAAAACACTCTCTTTAAATAACCTGAATGATATTGCTTGAACTGAACAGTCTACCTCGTTAATCTTGCTAAACCAGATGCAATGTATGTGTTCTCTAATATTTATCTTTATCAGCCCTCTATAGTATAGAAAATATAGCAGTAGAAGTGTATGTTATGTAGAAGTGTATGTTGTGTAGAAGTGTATGTTGTGTAGAAGTGTATGTTGTGTAGAAGTGTATGCTGTGTAGAAGTGTATGGTGATGTGTCACTCACTCTCCATAGGACTTGCCCCGTGCTGCAGGGCGAGCAGAGTAGTAGAAGAGTCTGAACTCGTCCATCCACACCTCCGCTGTGCGTCTGGTGTTCCTGCAACACAGCCAGTAGATCACACAGTAGGATTCAGTAGGCGTTTTACATTAGACCACTTTACTCCGGGGTGGGCCAGACTGCCGGTGTGAAAAGGCCTAGCGCGTATGTGACCAAAATAACCAGAAGCCAAGCCAGCCCTCGCACATTGGTCTCAAACACATTCCAAGAAAATTCACTATCTCGCTTGCTAAAGATCAGCAGCAAAATAATAGATGTACTCCTGAGAGTTAAGTATACTGTATCATATTCCTTATGTCTAGCTCACAGTTTTCACTGAATGTTGTGGGCCTTATTACCATCCTAGTTCCATTTCATTAAAGTTTGCATATTAAAATGAGGGCAAATACGTAATTGAGAATTCCATAATCCTCAGACCCAAACACACCATCCTGGTTCCTCTCGTGGACCTGCTACACCCAGACATTAAAGTCTGAGTGCCTCCCTGGCCTGAATACAAATTCATAGGTGAAGCGTTTCATGAAATTATGGGATTGGTCAATGGAACAGCGACTGAAGTGGATAAATAAACATTCTAGTACACTTTTAAAGCTAGATGACTTTCCGCCTCTGTTTTAGTATAGAGATGAGGGATGAGTGTGGAGAAATGTACAGCGCCTTGCAAATGTATTCATCCCCCTTGGCGTTTTTCCAATTTTGTTGCATTACAACCTGTAATTTAAATATATTTTTATTTGGATTTCATGTAATGGACATACACAAAATAGATTAAATTGGTGAAGTGAAATGAAAAAAATAACTTGTTTCAAAAAATTCAAAAAAATAAATACAAGTGGTGCGTGCATACAGTATGTATTCACCCCCTTTGCTATGAAGCCCCTAAATAAGATCTGGTGCAACCAATTACCTTCAGAAGTCACATAATTAGTTAAATAAAGTCCACCTGTGTGCAATCTAAGTGTCTCAGACTCTGGGGCGCTGTTCTGAAAGTCCCCAGAGTCTGCAACACAACTAAGCAAAGGGCACCACCAAGCAAGCGGCACCTAGAAGATGAAGGAGCTCTCCAAACAGGTCAGGGACAAAGTTGTGTAGAAGTACAGATCAGGATTGGGTTATAAAAAAATATATCTGAAACTTTTAACATCCCACGGAGCACCATTAAATCCATTATTAAAAAATTGGAAAGAATATGGCACCACAACAAACCTGCCAAGAGAGGGCCGCCCACCAAAACTCACAGACCAGGCAGGGAGGGCATTAATCAGAGAGGCAACAAAGAAACCAAAGATAACCCTGAAGGAGCTGCAAAGCTCCACAGCGGAGATTGGAGTATCTGTCCATAGGACCACTTCAAGCCGTATACGCCACAGAGCTGGGCTTTACGGAAGAGTGGCCAGAAAAAAACCCATTACTTAAAGGAAAAAATAAGCAAACACGTTTGGTGTTCACCAAATGCCATGTGGGAGACTCCCCAAACATTTGGAAGAAGGTACTCTGGTCAGATGAGACTAAAATTGAGCTTTTTGGCCATCATGGAAAACGCTATGTCTGGCGCAAACCCAACACCTCTCATCACCCCGAGAACACCATCCCCACAGTGAAGCATGGTGGTGGCAGCATCATGCTGTGGGGATGTTTTTCATCAGAAGGGACTGGGAAACTGGTCAGAATTGAAGGAATGATGGGTGGCGCTACATACAGGGAAATTCTTGAGGGAAACCTGTTTCAGTCTTCCAGAGATTTGAGACTGGGATGGAGGTTCACCTTCAAGCAGGACAATGACCCTAAGCATACTGCTAAAGCAACACTCAAGTGGTTTAAGGGGAAACATTTAAATGTCTTGGAATGGCCTAGTCAAAGCCCAGACCTCAATCCAATTGAGAATCTGTGGTATGACTTAAAGATTGCTGTACACCAGTGGAACCCATCCAACTTGAAGGAGCTGGAGCAGTTTTGCCTTGAAGAATGGGCAAAACTCCCAGTGGCTAGATGTGCCAAGCTTATAGAGACATACCCCAAGAGACTTGCAGCTGTAATTGCTGCAAAAGGTGGCTCTACAAAGTATTGACTTTGGGGGGGGGGGGGGGGGGGGGGGGGGGGGGGGGGGGGGGGGGGGGGGGTGAATAGTTCTGTTTTTTTGTCTTATCTCTAAAGTCTCTAAAGTCGTAGGCATGTTGTGTAAATCAAATGATACAAACCCCCAATTCCAGGTTGTAAGGCAACAAAATAGGAAAAATGCCAAGGGGGGTGAATACTTTCGCAAGGCACTGTAACCACTCTCAAATTCCTACACCGAGCTATGGATGCAAGGACTATTCATCCATTATAACAAAATTATGGTTTTACGTTGTTTACAAACATTGGAGTAAAACAAGCTTATATTTTGGGTTCTGATGGGGTACGACAGTTGAACTAAGCTCATGAGGCATTTAAAAGTTATATACTTCAAGAATCAATGGGTATATATAATTAATTAATAAGTCCAAAAATTGATGAAGCAACTGCAGATTCTAGCGTTAAAGGGTCCATTCCAGTGCATCTCTAGCAGAATGCACTGTCCTGTACAGCTAATTAAACTAGTCTACAGCCCTATCCTATCCCCTTGGTCCTCACAGGCAGCAACACAAACTTTCGGCCTATTGTACCCCCTGCTGTTTTATATTCCTTTGAAGTTCACACATCACATCTCTCCTTTGCACCTTACACTCAACACTACTGTTAAACAGCCTGGGTTCTGAGCAGAAGCAGAAAGAAAAGGGCGTAACGTATTGTAACACAAATGACAGTGATATTGTGCTAAGAGCGGAGCACATGGAGAGAACAGGTGAAGAAATTACACATCATTATCAGTGGGCATGCTGAGCATCCGGCTGCCATTAGAAGACTGTCCCCCCCCCCCCCCATCAAACATCATACTTGGAGCAATTATTCATTAACTCGGCTGAACTATGTTAGACATAAACATTTTGTTGACAGGATTAATGAATTATTCATTGTGTGTTCTAATGTGTTTTGTGTTGTAAGTAAAGAGAGATAGCTAATCAGTGAACCAACAGTGAACACACACTGCCAGTCAGTCAAAGGAGATGCAGCCAAGTCAAGGGGTGATTTTTACACAACAACAAATTTTCTGAAACTGCTCTGTAATCAAATCAAATAGTGTGTTGTTCGCTTTACATAGTCAGACCATGCCGTGACTTTCCTGAATGCTAATTGCAAATGAGAAATACAAATAAAGAAAACTGTCGATAATTGCATTGTTAACCAAGGGCAGCAATTCAGATTCATGTCAAAGTTAAACATTTGATAAAAGACGATATGTTTCACAAAGTTTTCAGATTAAATAATATAATTTGTGCACACACACAATTAGCTGACTAAATCCCTGTCAAACACAGTAGGAACATGATCCTAATCCTTAATATGGAGAGTGCAGGAGACAATAGAGCTTAACATAATACATTCAAAAGACAATGTTTGGCAAAGCTTAAGAGCAAACTACAGCAATTTCTTTCATTTATATTTACCACGTTCGCTGCAAATCTGTTCCCACTATTGGGTTGCATTGCACTAATATTGGCCTACCTCTCACACGAACAATGTAAAAACAGCTAAATATTTCAGTAGTACATATGAAGTGTTACAATGCAGCACCTATTTTGGTTGTCATGGGTTGGCTTTTTTTATTTTGAGGCCAGCTGTAAGAGGCATCTCACATGAACAATATGAATTCAGCCCAATAACACATACAGTATCGAGTGGTACAGTCACAGTGCAGTACTTTGGTTGTCGTGGGTTACCTTGTTATTTTGGAGAAGGCAGGCAGATAGACACACTAAGATGTAGGTCTGGATGTTGTTGTTTTTGTATTTTGGAGCAGGCAGATACAGTACAGATGGAGTCAGGTCTTACTTGATGTATGTGTTGGCGTTGCCCTCAGGGAATATGTAGGGGTGTTTCTTGCGGAAAACGTGGCCGACCCTGCTGCAGGGGATAATCTCCAGGCTCCCTCCACACATCCACACCCGGAACGAGATCTCTACACACACACACACACACACACACACACACACACACACACACACACACACACACACACAGACCACACACAACACACAGCTACCATTAGTTACCATTGTCCCATGGAATAGCTCAGGGGACAGCCATGACCCACAAAGAGCAGCACTGTATTGCATGCGCAGTGCTTGTAGACAGTATGAGTTCTGTGTGAGAGGAGGTTCAGTAGGACAACAGAGAGTCCTAAGGCAGGGACAGGCAGGGACAGGAGAGCTGACATTCGAACACACACAGTATTACAAAGTGTTATTGGAAATCTACAAGTGAAACCAGGTTAGAATATATACTCCTGGTAAGAAGTTATTTTGTTTCTCGTTCCATTACAATCCATAAACATTACCCATCATCATCTGTATATGGGGCAACTCTGACGCCTTGAATATTTGATAACATGCTTGTTGCCTCATATCTCAGGTTTAAACTCTCATGTTTAAATCTGCCGTGTCCTCTGCTCATTTAGAAGTGCACCACCAGCCACATGAATGTAAATAAACATGTCCCTCCATGGCCTGGTCTTATTTAGCCCAGGCTAATACAGTATAGACATCCAACAGAGTTGAAGTTTTGTAGCCTCAAACACAGCCTATAAAATGATGCTTCCTTTTTCGGAGTAACATTCTCAAAACATTTCCAATGAGCCTCTGAACTTTTTCAACATTTCAAAGTGTCAAAGGGAGAGGTGTGAGGGAGATGGAGAAGGAGAGAGACATTGTGTGTATGTTGTTGTGTGTGGTGTGTGTGTGAGAGAGAGAGACCGAGAGAGAGAGAGAAGAGAGAGGAGAGAGAGGAGAGAGAGAGAGAGAGCTCGATGCTAAAGAGAGCGATCAGAGTGTTAAGGAGAGAGTCTCCCGATCGCGAGCACGAAAAAGCTCCTCGAGATCCGCCGCGAGACTCATAGAATGAAGGCATCGCTGCCGATCCATCTCGATGCTCGATCCGAGCGCGATGAGAGCGAAGCGCTGAGAAGAGCTCTCATGCGATAGAACTAATAAGAGAATGAGAGCGAGAGAGAGAGATAAGTAAAATAGGCTAAAAATTAATAAGGAAATGAGCTCAACAGAGAAAAATGTCCTCATGTGAGCTACCTATATCCCCCCATTAGTATCCCCATACTTTACAGATGACAGCTTCTCCATCCTAGAGGGGGAGATCAACCATTTCCAGGCCCAGGGACATGTACTAGTCTGTGGCGACCTAAATGCCAGAACTGGACAAGAACCTGACACCCTCAGCACACATGGGGACAAATACCTACCTGGAGGTGACATCATTCCCTCCCCCATTTGCCCCCCTAGACACAACTACAACAACATAACCAACAAAATCGGGTCACAACTCCTGCATCTCTGTCGGACGCTGGGTATGTACATAGTCAATGGTAGGCTTCGAGGGGACTCCTAAGGTAGGTACACATTTAGCTCATGTCTTGGCAGTAGTACTGTAGACTACTTTATCACTGACCTCAACCCAAATTCTCTTAGAGTGTTCACAGTCAGCCCACTGACACCCCTATCAGATCACAGCAAAATCACAATCTACTTGAACAGAGCAATACTCAATCATGAGGCATCAAAGCCAAAGGAACTGAATAGTATTAAGAAATGCTATAGATGGAAGGAAAGTAGTTTTGAAATCTACCAAAAAACAATTAGGCAACAACAAATTCAATCCCTTCTAGACAATTTCCTGGACAAAACATTTCACTGTAATAGTGAAGGTGTAAACTTGGCAGTAGAGAATCTAAACAGTATATTTGACCTCTCAGCTTCCCTATCAAATCTACAAATTTCAAACAGAAAACCGAAGAAAATTAACAACAATGACAAATGGTTTAATGAAGAATTCAAAAACCTAAGATAGAAATTGAGAAACCTATCCAACCAAAAACATAGAGACCCAGAAAACCTGAGCCTACGCCTTCACTATGGTGAATCACTCAAACAGTACAGAAATACACTACGGAAAAAGAAGGAACAGCACGTCAGAAATCAGCTCAATGTAATGGAAGATTCCATAGACTCTAACCACTTTTGGGAAAATTGGAAAACACTAAACAAACAACAACACGAAGAGTTATCTATCCAAAACGGAGATGTATGGGTAAACCACTTCTCCAATCTTTTTGGCCATATAACAAAGAACAAACAGCAAAAACATATACATGATCAAATACAAATCTTAGAATCAACTACTAAAGACTACCAGAACCCACTAATATTCCCCAATATTTGGAACCAAGGACTGATCACCCCAATCCACAAAAGTGGAGACAAATTCGACCACAATAACTACGGTGGAATATACGTCAACAACAACCTTGGGAAAATCCTCTGCATTATTATTAACAGCAGACTCGTACATTTCCTCAGTGAAAACAATGTACTGAGCAAATGTCAAATTGGCTTTTTACCAAATTACAGTACGACAGACCACGTATTCACCCTGCACACCCAGCAAAGTCTTCTCATGCTTTGTTGATTTCAAAAAAGCTTTTGACTCAATTTGGCATGAGGGCCTGCTATACAAATTGATGGACCCCACAGAGCCCCAGGACAGCAACCCAATTAGACCCAACCAAATCATGAGAAAACAAAAAGATAATTACTTGACAAATTGGAAAGAGTTTACAAAAAAACAGAGTAAACTAGAATGCTATTTGGCCCTAAACAGAGAGTACACAGTGGCAGAATACCTGACCACTGTGACTAACCCAAAACTAAGGAAATCGTTGTCTATGTACAGACTCAGTGAGCATAGCCTTGCTATTGAGAAAGGCCGCCGAAGGTAGACCTGGCTCTCAAGAGAAGACAGGCTATGTGCACACTGCTCACAAAAAATGAAAAATCTGTCGATGTGCCCTTAAGCAAGGCACTTAACCCTAATTGCTCCTGTAAGTCGCTCTGGATAAGAGTGTCTGCTAAATGACTAAACATGTAAATGTAAATACAACCTATGTATTTTTTTTGTCATGTTTATTTATTTTCCTTTTTGTACTTTAACTATTTGCACATCATAACACTTATTTTGGAACTTTTGTGAGTGTAATGTTTACTGTTAATTTTTAATTGTTTATTTCACTTTTGTTTATTATCTATTTCACATGCTTTGGCAATGTAAACATGTGTTTCCCATGCCAATAAAGCCCTTTAATTGAAATTGAAATTGAATTGAGAGAGAGAAATAAGAGACTGGGGAGGAGAGAGAGAGAGAGAGAGAGAGAGAGAGAGAGAGAGAGAGAGAGAGAGAGAGAGAGAGAGAGAAATAGAAGAGACTGGGGAAGATGAAGAGAAAGTGAGAGAAAGAGGAAGAAGGAGAGTATTCTATTCCAGTCTTACTGTACTCGTCTCTACTCCTTTCTTTATTGATCTGAACAGCAGCAGTACAGTCAGGAGAAACTGTCTGTCTATTATGTGAACCCCAGCATCCTTCTGCCAGAGATACATGGGAGAGTGCTAGTCAGCCTCCTGGCCTTTTAGAAACTGTAATAAACTATGAATCATTCCCACCACTACCTCGGTTAGCCCTGGCTGCTGTGCACAACTCGCCTGCAGATGTACCTGACAGGAGCAAGCATGAAGCAGGGAAGAGAAGTGCTCACGCTACCTATTGCTCCAAGGGCGTCTGGCTAGGACTGGAATAGCTGCAATGTTACACTCTCTCTAGCTTGTTTCACAGTGGTGTGCTGTTATGCTGGACAATGATTGGTCATATAAAATTCTGCTTAATATTTGTGTCTTCTTGACTCTTGCTGTTTCAACTATACAATAAGTGTTAGAAGCCCATCATATGGAAAGGGTTCGATTGATTTAAAAAAGTATCACTTTTTGGGGTTTGGGACTGTGGTAATGACTTCCAACACAATTAATCAACTGTCCCGCTTTAGTAAGAAAAGGTCTCGAGGCGAAGGCAACCTTGAGCAGACAGAAATAATTTTGTCAGCTATAGAGGCAGGCTCCTAGTGCTGACAGACTGGCACACACAATAGCCAATCCCCTCAACCCAGCTCCGGCCCAGTCAGATGACTCACTCACCAAAGTTCTCCCCGCCCCAGATGTCCATGGCTGTGTCATACTTCCCCAGGTGGTTGAACCACGACTTGTCAATCACAAACAGCCCTCCGGCGATGATGGGCGTCCTGCAGGAGAGAATATTCAGGGAATATTATATTGTGGAACATTGACTGGATGGGTAGACTTGAGATAGTTTGTTGTATGTTTTTGTAGACATTAAGAACACTTTATGATAGATCCAGGTGGCTGGTAGAAGAGTCCAAACTTCTATCTAAACTCTCTCCATCTCCACACGGCTGAGTGTTGCTGATGTGAATAATGATGCTGGCCCGGCCCGGCCCAGTGAGTGTGTGTGAACCGCTGAGTAAAATGTAAATTGATTGAGTGATACAGGAGCCAGCCGGGGCAGACGGGCGGGTGGGCAGGGCTGAACCGGCTGACAAGCAGAGGCGAGTCAGACGTGTAAGAGGAAACCTTCTCATTTTCAGGCAGAAGCTGAAGCTGCACCCAGGCCCTCCATGGAGTGCTAACCGGGACCTATCTAATACAATTCACTCAGCACAGGATGAAACAAAGGCAGAAAGAGAGAGAGAGAGAGAGAGAGAGAGAGAGAGAGAGAGAGAGAGAGAGAGAGAGAGAGAGAGAGAGAGAGAGAGAGAGAGAGAGAGAGAGCCCTCCTCATGTTGCTGACTTTAAGGCAAGCCATTTTCAATTCACCTGCTTTTCTTTTGAACGATGAGGAGCATTGTCTCCTGTCTAGAATAGACACGCCATGATGCTCTCTGGCGTCAACAACATTCTCCACATTCATTTTCTCTTTTCTCACAGCTGTTTCTCATTTCCTGTCTCTGTCTGCAGAACTTGAGTCATTTAGTTTGACCAATGATGACAGAGGGGAATTGATTCTGGAGGCAATACCACTTTCTCTGGTCATCTATAACGTCTCCGTAGTGCACTTAAGGCTATGACTTAAAAAGGTAGCACCTAATAGATACACTACATATACAAAAGTATGTGGACACCCCTTCAAATTAGTGGATTCGGCTATTTCAGCCACTGTTGCTGACAGGTGTATAAAATCGAGCACACAGCCATGAAATCTCCACAAACATTGGCAGTAGAATGACCTTACTGAAGAGCTTAGTGGCTTTCAACGTGGCACTGTCGTAAAGTGCCACCTTTCCAACAAGTCAGTCCGTCAAATTTCTGCCCTGCTAGAGCTGCACCGGTCAACTGTAAATGCTGTTATTGTGAAGTGGAAACGTCTAGGAGCAACAACGGCTCAGCCGCGAAGTGGTAGGCCACACAAGCTCACAGAAAGGGATCGCAGAGTGCTGAAGCGCGTAGCTACCGAATTCCAAATTGCCTCTGGAAGCAACGTCAGCACAAGAACTGTTCGTCGGGAGCGTCATGAAATGGGTTTCCGTGGCCGAGCAGCCGCAAACAAGTCTAAGATCACCATGTGAAATGCCAAGTGTCAGCTGGAGTTGTGTAAAGCTCGCCGCCATTGGACTCTGGAGCAGTGGAAACGCGTTCTCTGGAGTGATGAATCATGCTTCACCATCTGGCAGTCCGATGGACGAATCTGGGTTTGGCGGATGCCAGGAGAACGCTACCTGCCCGAATGCATAGTGCCAAATGTAAAGTTTGGTGGAGGAGGAATAATGGTCTGGGGCTGTTTTTCATGGTTCGGGCTAGGCCCCTTAGTTCCAGTGAAGATAAATCTTAACACTACAGCATACAATGACATTCTAGACGATTCTGTGCTTCCAACTTTGTGGCAACAGTTTGGGGAAGGCCCTTTCCTGTTTCAGCATGACAATTCCCCTGTGCACAAAGTGAGGTCCATACAGAAATGGTTTGTCGAGATCGGTGTGGAAGAACTTGACTGGCCTGCACAGAGCCCTGACCTCAACCCCATCGAACACATTTGGGATGAATTGGAATGCCGACTGCGAGCCAGGCCTAATCGCCCAACATCAGTGCACAACCTCACTAATGCTCTTGTGGCTGAATGGAAGAAAGGCCCCGCTGTTATAGCAGCAAAGGGGGGACCAACTCCATATTAATGCCCATGATTTTGGACGAGCAGGTGTCCACATACTTTTGATAATGTAGTGTACACTGACATCTGACAAAATACAACCCTCGCCAGCGATAACCTTGGCTGCATCCTGAACAGCTTTAGGCTGCATGTTTTCCTCCTGCATTTCAAACCTTGCATCAGGACATACTATTTCTGATAGTAATGATTCATGATTTATTGATTCAGCTTACTATACATGTATATCAGCATAAAGTCAGAAACAGCTTTATGAGGAAGCCTTGGGAAAGCCAAATGATTAAGTTCAGCCCAGACACACAATAAAACAGACAACGTGATGCTTCTTTATTTTGCAGCGAGACATCCTTTGTTGTATATTTCGCCTGCTGCAACATAAATATCTGCCAGACTGAATGAGTGTCGTCATAACAACAGAACAGAGCATTACAGGAGGAAATCATCATCGTTGGACAATGCTGTAAAACCCTGAGGCACACGCATCACCAAATCCTACTTAGTTATTGCGGTCTGCCATTAACTACTGACTGTCCATAAATAGACCCCCACTGGAGAGAAGAAATTACAGAAAAGAACATGCCTATGACAAACAGATGACGATGGGACTGAATGACTGACTGAATGACTGAATGACTGACTGACTGACTGACTGACTGACTGACTGAATGACTGAATGACTGAATGACTGACTGAATGACTGACTGAATGACTGAATGACTGACTGACTGACTGAATGACTGACTGAATGACTGAATGACTGAATGGCTGAATGACTGACTGAGGGATGTAGGGTAGTGGACCATAGACACTCATCAGGAGAAGATGGGCGAAGGAGAGGACAGGTGAGGAGAGGGGAAGGGATGAAGGATGGAAGCACACACAGAGAGATGAGGAAAGAAGTATGAAGAGGAAACTAGAGTGGGGGGGGGAAAGAATAGAAGAGAGGACGGGAGAAAGGAGAAGAAGAGAGGTGCGAAAGGAAGAAAGGAAGAACAGAGGGAGAGATTAGTAGTTACTTCTTCAAGAAGTGTGAAGAGGAAACGAGGGGAGGAAAAAGAACAGAACAGAAAGAAGAGAGGAGATGAGAAGGGGAGATGAGAGGGGCCCTCCAGATTGCCAAGTGGAGAGGTTCATTGTCTTACTCATTTCTCAAGTGGAGGGAAGATTTTAGCCCACAGCCAAGCATCTCTGTGACACTGTCCCCAGCCCTGACGTACTGCCTGGCGTGTCAGACTGTCAGACTGGCAGGAGCCAAGGCTCTCAATCACCGCACAGCACGGTGAATATTCATGATGGAAACAAACATTTGCATTTATGCAGAGTGACAACAGTATCGTCTTTTCTTAGAAAATATGTTCCTTCCTGTACCTGGATAATAATTATGATGGGAAATTAACAGAGAGTGACAGAGAGTGAAAGAAAGAGAGATGTGTGAGAGAGATCAATCAATCATTCTAGCCAAGCATTAAAATGATCTGCCCCGGATTCAGAGCCACCTGGGGCCAGGAGGATTAAAGAGGATCAAATCTCTTTGGATGAAATAATGCAAAGGTGCTTTAATCGGCTGTGGTCCGGTGTCCTCTCTGAACTCCTTTGGGCTGCTTTCTCATTAATCGTGCTGCTGCTATCTCTGCAGAGATCAATGGTTTAACTGCCTCTACCAGGTGCTGCTTTCTAGCCCGTCTCTGCCTCTCTCTCCCCTGATGGACTGTTTAGATCACAGTGCAGTGAAAGACCTCAGGGAGATAATTCATTCCACTGCTGCTCCATCAGATGAAAAAGTAAAAGCATGGCTGCATGCTGCCGGTCACTGGATGGACGGATGGCCAGGCAGGCATGCAGGGCACCCCCTCCTCTCCTACTTCCCTCCTCTATCGCTCCATCCCTCCCCTTTCATCTGCAGCCAGACCAGACCGTCCCCTAATATCCGTCTTTATGCTTCCTTTCACTTACTTAATGGGTTCGGTGGGGTCAGCTCTCCTGGCTTTCTGCTCAGCAGACAACTGCTCCCACTTGAAATGTAGACTCCAGTCGAAGCCTGCGGCAGAGAGCGAGAGAGAGATAATCACAACACGAACTGGGAATGAGGGAGGGTGAAGGAGAGAGGGAGGGAGAGAGAGAGAAAGAGAGAGAGAGAGGGTAAGTCAGGGGAGGGTCAGGAGGAGAGCATTGCATGTCAGAATGAAGATTCAGAAGAAGGAGAAATATGGAAAGAGGGAGAGGAAGAAAACTGTTTTTAGAAAAGAAAGGAAGGCGAGTCAGAGGAGATCAGTGCAGGTCAGAGAGAAGGGGACCAAACGACTACTAACACAAGGATAATGGGAAGAGAGGGTTGAGGAGGAGGGTGAACTGTAAAGGCGGGGTCGATTATAGAATGCTGCAGCAGCCTCACATCCACAGAATCCCCCTTCCTTCCTTCCTTCCTTCATCACACGCTTTATTAATCTCTGGCAGAACACTGTCAATAATTACAGCCACCATTCCTGCTAACGTCTCCTATTTCATTACTCTAATGATTAATTATGGCTGATTATGGCCCATTGGCTAATGGCTGATCTGGCCTGACCCTTTGGAATGACCTTTACACAAGAGCTTTTTAATAGCCCAGCCCATCCCGTCCTATCCTGAGACAGACGCAGTGCCCTTGATGTCTTCAAATATATGCATGAGAAGACCAATGCATATTTCTCTCAATTAATAAAGTATGTACCTGTGTGTAGATGTGTCTGCATGTGTGTGTGAGCATAGACGTGTGTATGTGTGTGTGTCTGCGAGTGCATGCGTGCCTATGTGTGTTTCTGTGCGCGTCTCAGTATGTGTGTGTGTGTGTGTGTGTATGTGTGTGCAGGGGAGAGAGAGAGGATTTGGCAGGCAGACCCAGGAGTGCTAGCGCAGCAGTCTGCAGGCAGGCAGGGCCGGGTCTCAGTGGATCGATGTGGCTCTATTGACACCACATCTTTTTCATGTTATGACAGATGGCTTCTTCAATAATTAAAATGTCCAATCTGAGGCCTAGGAGTATCATCCCCATTAATTGTCGTATCCAGTTCTCTGGGAACACTGATTGGAGCTGTTCATCTGGCCGTGTGTATGTGTGTGTGTTGTGTGTGTGTGTGTCTGTGTGTGTGTGTGTGTGTGTGTGTGTGTGTGTGTGTGTGTGTGTGTGTGTGTGTGTGTGTGTGTGTGTGCGTGTGTGTGTGCATGCGTGTTTGTGTGTGTGTGCGTAGCCTCTTCTAGCCAGGTAATGGAGACCTGGTAGCCTGGGGGCGGTAATGGAGAAGGAGAGGGATGGGGTCAGGAGTGAGGGATGAACAGATGGATAAGTCAGTGGAGAGAGGGAGGCACTAGAGAGGGTTGGAAAGAGGGCTGGAGAGATAAAGAAATGGATAGAGAGAGGGAGGGACATAGATGTGGAGAGAGCAATGAAGATAGGGAGGTCAAGCCCTTATAGCTCCATACCTCCACGGAGGTCAGAGGAGGCTGCTACGTAGGCGAATGTATCCATGTTAATGATGTCGATCACTGGGCTCACCACACAGGTGGGGTCCTGGGGAAACAAGAGAGAGACTGGAGTCAGAGACCATGTTCAAAACATACAGTAACAATGGGATTTGATTGAATATTCATTATTAACAGTTCAGCAGCTGAAGTTAATGAGAAAGGTGTGGGTGTAATGAGGGGCATTGATGTGTTGCAGGGTACTGATTAAACATGCATTATGTTCATACAGTAGATCACACAGAAGTTTGGATGATGTTTCAGTCAATGCTCTGGAGCTCATTTACTAGTAGTTTGAGGTTAAGGAAATAACATGATAGAATGTCTACCTTTAGGAAATGTGATACATTGTATTGGATTTCCTTATGAACTGCCGTTAGAATTTCTTAAACGATGTGATAGTGTCTCAGGCTCATTGTCTTTCCCTCTAGGCTGCCCAGCTAATGTAAGGTATTGTACATCGATCAGTGTCTTTGATCAGATCAGACAGAGGGAAGAGGAGGTTAACAGGCGGTGTGTGAAAGTCTTCACACACACGTGCGCACCCATGCATACACACACTCTCACACACCAATCAGCATTCACACACACAAACTAGTCAGCGCTGACAGGCAGACACAAGCCCAGTCACAGTCAAAGCCCACGACAGAATCATCTTCAGCTGCTGATACACACACACAGACACAAACAGACACACACACACACACACACACACACACACACACATAGACACACAGTGACAGGCAGCATCCTGGGCGGTCTGACCATAACATCTGACATTTGATTCGCCTCCTCAGCTTCAGTATCCCGTTCAGCTCATGTCTCACACACGCTCATCTGCTCTTCTTCAAAAATATTTGTCTATAATCTCTCTATTCCCCCCCTCTTTCCCTCTTGTATTCTCTCTCTCACTCACTCTCTCGATCTCTGCCATGGTGTTTAGTCAAGGTGATTTGCCTTTTTGCCTGTGACACGAGAATACATACAGTGCCTTGCAAAAGTATTCATCCCCCTTGCCGTTTTTCCTATTTTGTTGCATTACAACCTGTAATTGAACTGGATTTTTATTTGGATTTCATGTAATGGACATACACAAAATAGTCCAAATTGGTGAAGTGAAATGAAAAAAATAACTTGTTTCAAAAAATTCAAAAAAATAAATAACGGAAAAGTGGTGCGTATTCACCCCCTTTGCTATGAAGCCCCTAAATAACATCTGGTGCAACCAATTACCTTCAGAAGTCACATAATTAATGTATGCACTAACTGTAAGTCGCTCTGGATAAGAGCGTCTGCTAAATGACTAGTATGTACAAATGTAAAATAAAGTCCACCTGTGTGCAATCTAAGTGTCACATGATCTCATTGACCTGCTCTGAAAGGCCCCAGAGTCTGCGACACCACTAAGCAAGGGGCACCACCAAGCAAGCGGCACCATGAAGACCAAGGAGCTCTCCAAACAGGTCAGGGACAAAGTTGTGGAGAAGTACAGATCAGGGTTGGGTTATAAAAAAATGTCCGAAACTTTGAACATCCCACGGAGCACCATTAAATCCATTATTAGAAAATGGAAAGAATATGGCACCACAACAAACCTGCCAAGAGAGGGCCGCCCACCAATACTCACGGACCAGGCAAGGAGGGCATTAATCAGAGAGGCAACAAAGAGACCAAAGATAACCATGAAGGAGCTGCAAAGCTCCAGAGCAGAGATTGCAGTATCTGTCCATAGGACCACTTTAAGCCGTACACTCCACAGAGCTGGGCTTTACGGAAGAGTGGCCAGAAAAAAGCCATTGCTTAAAGGAAAAAATAAGCAAACACGTTTGGTGTTCACCAAAAGGCATGTGGGAGACTCCCCAAACATTTGGAAGATGAGACTAAAATTGAGCTTTTTGGCAATTAAGGAAAACGCTGTGTCTGGTGCAAACCCAACACCTCTCATCACCCCGAGAACACCATCCCCTGTGGGGATGTTTTTCATCGGCAGGGACTGGGAAACTGGTCAGAATTGAAGGAATGATGGATGGCGCTAAATACAGGGAAATTCTTGATGTTTGAGACTGGGACGGAGGTTCACCTTCGAGCAGGACAATGGCCCTAAGCATACTGCTAAAGCAACACTCAAGTGGTTTAAGGGGAAACATTTAAATGTCTTGGAATGGCCTAGTCAAACCCCAGACCTCAATGAAATTGAGAATCTGTGGTATGACTTAAAGATTGCTGTACACCAGTGGAACCCATCCAACTTGAAGGAGCTGGAGCAGTTTTGCCTTGAAGAATGGGCAAAGATCCCAGTGGCTAGATGTGCCAAGCTTATAGAGACATACCCCAAGAGACTTGCAGCTGTAATTGGTGGAAAAGGTGGCTCTACAAAGTATTGACTTTTGGGGGGCTGAATAGTTATGCACGCTCAAGTTTTCAGTTTTTTTGTCTTATTTCTTGTTTGTTTCACAATAAAAAATATTTTGCATCTTCAAAGTGGTAGGCATGTTGTGTAAATCAAATGATACAAACCCCCCAAAAATCAATTTTAATTGCAGGTTGTAAGGCAACAAACTAGGAAAAATGCCAAGGGGGGTGAATACTTTCACAAGCCACTGTAGTTTTCAAATCCCTTTCAACCAATTGCAAATATCCTTCTCTTCTCAGACATTATGCGGCTCTGAGAGGAATGGTCCTTCACAGCGGTGTGGTGTGTCATGAATATTATACATCTGTCTTTGTGCCTGCATATCCACAAATCAATAAGTCATACATTTAGAAATAAATATGTATATATGAGGACAGTGATGGATGACTCCCTCAGAACAAAATCAGTCGTGCTTCTTTTTATATATTGATTGTTTGTAGACAAGAGCTTCCTGTATTAGCACATACTGTATATTGTATAACTTGATGTGTTATGCCTCGCAGTGCCAAATCCAAAATAATGTTGGCAAGTTGTTGAGAACTTAAGGCCAGACATCAGCAACTGCACCAGGGCATTAAGATTCAGACAGCACTTTGAAGTCAGACATGCAATAAGGTTAGCATATAATTGAATATAACATGTAAGCCCCCCAGCATTAGTCATAGGCCTCTTTCAATGTTTAGAAAGCAGCATGTCCACATAAGACTTTTAAGGTAAGAGAGAGTCAACCGTCAACCCTCTGTCTTAGCCTGTGGGAGATGGGGAGATGGAGGGATGAGAGCGAGAGAGAGTGAGAGAGAGTGAGAGAGAGAGAGAGAGAGAGAGAGAGAGAGAGAGAGAGAGAGAGAGAGAGAGAGAGAGAGAGAGAGAGAGAGAGAGGAGAGAGAGAGAGAGAGAGAGAGAGAGAGAGAGAGAGTGTGTGTGAGAGAGAGAGAGAGAGAGAGAGAGAGGAGAGAGAGGAGAGAGAGAGAGAGAGAAAGAGAGAGAGAGAGGGGGAAGAGTGCTGTTGGTGTAAATGGATGGAGTGCTGCACTTAATCCAGATTAGGGGCAATCAGCGGAACAGCAGAAGGTAAGCTGCCATGTTCACCATAGTCCCACCACTCTACCATCAGCAGCACTAAGAGCTCTCAGCACTAAGAGCTCTGGAGTGGTGTTGGTGGTGGTCGCTGAGACTGACAGTTCACAACACACAATGCTCCACTTCAACACAAACTAGGAGGGAGTTTATCATTCATTTCTGGAGATATAGAAATATGCCAAAAAGAGAAAGCATGTGTAGGAGAGTAGGGTGAGGGTTTTCTTCCTTCAAGTTCTCAACAAGCTGAGAGTGTTTAAGTCTCCTGCACTCCTGCAGACATAGAAATAGTGTATAGTGTCAAAAGGAGAAATACACATTGGAGTTCATTGGAGGGTGGCAGTTAGTGTCTCAAGATCCCAAGAAGCTTTATTTTGTTCAGGGAGAATGATGTCAAAAGGGTATAGGAGAATGGGGTGGATTTTCTTTCTATTCTGGGTTATCCATCAGAAGGTGTAGAGTAGATGTAGGATGTACTGTTAATGTAGACGTAGAATGTGTCACTGCCTGTACTGTTACTGTAGATGTAGGATGTGTCATTGCCTGTACTGTTACTGTAGATGTAGGATGTGTCACTGCCTGTACTGTTACTGTAGACGTAAAATGTGTCACTGCCTGTACTGTTAGTGTAGATGTAGGATGTGTCACTGCCTGTACTGTTACTGTAGATGTAGGATGTGTCACTGCCTGTACTGTTAGTGTAGATGTAGGATGTGTCACTGCCTGTACTGTTACTGTAGATGTAGGATGTGTCACTGCCTGTACTGTTACTGTAGATGTAGGATGTGTCACTGCCTGTACTGTTACTGTAGATGTAGGATGTGTCACTGCCTGTACTGTTACTGTAGATGTAGGATGTGTCACTGCCTGTACTGTTACTGTACCTCTTTGATCCTCTGGAGCAGCGGAGGCAGCCAGTCTTTGTTGACCTCACAGTGACTGTCCAGGAAGGTCAGGACCCCGGCCTTAGCCACGTCCGCCCCACGAACCCTGGAGCGGATCAGACCTGTCAAAGAGGGGTCAAAAGTCATTCTCATCTTTAACCACTGCTGCGTGTGTGTGTCTGTACACGTGTGTCTACCTGCCTGTGTCTGTCTGTATCTAAACCCAACCACTGTATCTAAACCCAACCACCGTGTCTAAACCCAACCACCGTGTCTAAACCCAACAATCGTGTCTAAACCCAACCACCGTGTCTAAACCCAACCACTGTGTCTAAACCCAACCACCGTGTCTAAACCCAACAATTGTGTCTAAACCCAACCACCGTGTCTAAACCCAACCACTGTGTCTAAACCCAACCACCGTGTCTAAACCCAACCACCGTGTCTAAACCCAACCACCGTGTCTAAACCCAACAATCGTGTCTAAACCCAACCACCGTGTCTAAACCCAACCACCGTGTCTAAACCCAACCACCGTGTCTAAACCCAACCACCGTGTCTAAACCCAACCACCGTGTCTAAACCCAACCACCGTGTCTAAACCCAACCACAGTGTCTAAACCCAACCACCGTGTCTAAACCCAACCACCGTGTCTAAACCCAACCACTGTGTCTAAACTCAAACACTGTCAAATATGATGTTGTTGAAAGTGTTTCTTCTCAGATACTCTGAACACAATGAAGGAGAAATCAATGACTTCACAAGTCCCTGTATTGTCCATTTCATGCGTGGAGACGAGGGAGGTCTTAAAAAAGCCATTTGTGTCTGTTTATGGTGCGGCGACACAATTACAGCCCTTAGACATGAGGGTCTAAATGGGGACATCACACTGTTAAGAGGTCTCAATGATCAAAGGACATTCTGTCCGGGCTAAAGAGCAAAATCAATCGTCCCTGACATAGGACGGAGCGTCATTGTATGAAATTGCAGGACTCCCCTGTAAGTTTCCCCTGTAATGCCGTGACCAGCCAATTAAAAATCCCATTTCATCCTCAATAACACTTTCTTTTCTGGATGGCTGAGCTCACCCTCCCCTCAACAGTTGCTAGGTGAAGCCTGACTCTGTACAGAACATAGCTTGTGTTAAAGGAGGGCTGCTGCGGTAGCTGCCTTTACAGACCAGAGTGAGAGAGAGAGAGAGAAAGCAAGAGGGAGAGAGAAAGAGAAAGAGAGAAAGGAAGAAAGAGAGAGACAGAGCGAGAGTGAGAGAGAGAGAGAGAGGGAGAGTGAGAATAAATAATTAGTGTGTGTGTGTGTCTGTGTGTGTGTGTGTGTGTGTGTGTGTGTGTGTGTGTGTGTGTGTGTGTGTGCATAGTGATTATGTTCACTACTGAAGCCTGATAGAGGTGACATGGCATAACAGCTTCTGCTGTTTGTAGCATTAAAGCATTTAGAGTTGAGTTGAGGCCCCAGGGGACTGTTAACTACAACCGGACCATAGACACACACACACACACATGCTCATCAACACTGTAGTGGAACACTGAGGGTGGCTAATGAAACCTCCTAACGACACCATTTGTTATTGAGAAAGCCCCTGAATTGGTTTAAAGATACAATCTAATTGGGGTTGTACTGACTTTTTCACTTGATTAGGTATTATCGGAGAGCCATTTCTTAATGTTGGAATCTTGGTAGTTGTCGTCTTGAGATTAGAGGTCTCTGCTTTTCATTAATACAGCAGGAATCTAATTACCCACAATGCCTCACACCTGTCTCGCCATGATGTCATAGACGAGAACAGCTATTTCTAACAGCACTTGTAGGCTAACGATTTCAAATCATCATCCCATTCCATTAAAATGTGCTCCTTCATTGACAGATCTGAGTGCATGTGAGAGACTTGCATTATATTTAAGTCATTTAGCAGCCGCTAAATCCAGAGCGATTTACAGGACCAATTAGGGTTAGGTGCCTTCCTCAAGGGCACATCAACAGATTTCTCAACTACTCAGCCCAGGGATTTGAACCAGCAACCTTTCAGTAACTGGGCCAACGCTTAACCGCTAGGCTACCTGCCGCCCATGTTCATAACTGACCCGTAAAAGCCAATATCAATCCCAGGGTCTGAAACAAAATGATAGCAAGCTATGGCAGGTCGCGACAGGCAGACCTGTGATTGCAGCACTCTAGAAAACCTCACCGCTGCACACGTCAATGGCCCGGAGGACTATCCGTCATTACAACGACCAACCTGCAGAGCAATCATAGTGTGGCAGAGGCCCCATCCAAATGGGTTCCATTAAACTGTAACGCTGTCGTACAGTTGAAGTCGGAAGTTTACATACACTCGTTTTTCAACCACTCCACAAATTTCTTGTTAACAAACTATAGTTTTGGCAAGTCAGTTAGGACATCTACTTTGTGCATGACACAAGTAATTTTTACAACAATTGTTTACAGACAGATTATTTAATTTATAATTCACTGTATCACAATTCCAGTGGGTCAGAAGTTTACATACACTAAGTTGACTGTGCCTTTGAACAGCTTGGAAAATTCCAGAAAATGATGTCATGGCTTTAGAAGCTTCTGATAGGCTACTTGACATAATTTGAGTCAATTGGAGGTGTACCTATGGATGTATTTCAAGGCCTAACTTCAAACTCAGTGCCTCTTTGCTTGACATCATCGGAAAATCAAAAGAAATCAGCCAAGACCTCAGAAAAAAGATTGTAGACCTCCACAAGTCTGGTTCATCCTTGGGAGCAATTTCCAAACGCCTGAAGGTACCACGTTCATGTGTACAAACAATAGTACGCAAGTATAAACACCATGGGACCCCGCAGCCGTCATACCGCTCAGGAAGGAGAGGCATTCTGTCTCCTAGAGATGAACGTACTTTGGTGTGAAAAGTGCAAATCAATCCCAGAACAACAGCAAAGGACCTTGTGAAGATGCTGGAGGAAACAGGTACAAAAGTATCTATATCCACAGTAAAAAGAGTCCTATATCGACATAACCTGAAAGGCCGCTCAGCAAGGAAGAAGTCACTGCTCCACAACCGCCATAAAAAAGACAGACTACGGTTTGCAACTGCACATGGGGACAAAGATCGTACTTTTTGGAGAAATGTCCTCTGGTCTAATGAAACAAAAATAGAACTCTTTGGCCATAATGACCATCGTTATGTTTGAAGCAACATCTCAAGACATCAGTCAGGAAGTTAAATCTCGGTCGCAAATGGGTCTTCCAAATGGACAATGACCCAAAGCATACTTCCAAAGTTGTGGCAAAATGGCTTAAGGACAACAAAGTCAAGGTATTGGAGTGACCATCACAAAGCCCTGACCTCAATTCTATAGAAAATGTGTGGGCAGAACTGAAAAAGCGTGTGCGAGCAAGGAGGCCTACAAACCTGACTCAGTTACACCAGCTCTGTCAGGAGGTAGGGGTGAGGTGGCGATGGGGTGAGGTTGTGTTTCTGTAAGCGGGAGGTAAGCTTGGCTTCTTCTTTATATGGTGTCGAGTAAAGCTTAAACCATGTATTTAGATTGTAGGTAGGTATTGTAGTTAGGTATTGTAGGTAGTTTATCTAGGTAGTTATTGTAGGTAATTATTGTAGGTAAGTATTGTATTCGGCTGAGCCCGGTGAAGCACGAGGCTAGCTAACCTACTACCTGGACCAATAAAGCTAGCTAGCTAGCGGGTAGCTACTGGTAACTATTAGCAACTGTGGATAGTTGTTTCCAATGTTATTTCACGCTTAAGAGTACCTGTAAAAATGAGCCAGCTAGCTACCTACCATTCAGCTGTTTTTCTAACCTCATTATCTGAAGCGTTAATTACATTTTACATTACATTTACGTCATTTAGCAGACGCTCTTATCCAGAGCGACTTACAGTTAGTGAATACATATTTTTTTTTATACTGGCCCCCCGTGGGAATCGAACCCACAACCCTGGCGTTGCAAACGCCATGCTCTATCAACTGAGCTACATCCCTGCCGGCCATTCCCTCCCCTACCCTGGACGACGTTGGGCCAATTGTGCACCGCCCATGAGTCTCCCGGTCGCGGCCGGCTACGACAGAGCCTGGATTCGAACCAGGATCTCTAGTGGCACAGTTAGCACTGCGATGCAGTGCCTTAGACCACTGCGCCACTCGGGAGATTAATGTTAGGTAGTTAGTAGCTACTGTACTCGAAATGTAGCTAGCTTGTTGCTACCTGGATAGCTAACTAAACAATAGCTGGAACGACCTAGCTGTAATGTTTGGAGATGCTTTTTCTCCGTTGGGACAGACGCGAACTGGCTAAATCAATTCAGTAGCTAGCTTTACACTTAACTAGCTAACAGTAGCTACTAAGGGTAAGTTATAACCTACATTTATTTTAATTTTATTTTTACATACTGGTAACCAGAGTCGTTCAAAAGGAATTCAAGACATGGGTGACTAGTTAACATTAGCTTGGCTCTCTCTGTGTGTTTCATACCGTGGGAGGAGGGGTTGGTTTGTTGACAGAGAGCAATGACTAGCTAATATGCTAACTATTCTAGCTAGCTAACTAACTGGCTGAATAAGTTGACGACGTACTCACTCAAACTGTCAAAACTAACCCCAAAACTTTACACAACGTTAGACACGGACGATCTGTTTAGCGTGTTAACACACTATTGGTAGTTTGTTGTAACCGAGTATTGGTGCTAAACCTTGTTATTTTTTTTACATTTCAGTCATTTAGCAGACGCTCTTATCCAAAGCGACTTACAGTTAGTAAGTGCATACATATTTAATTTTTTTCATACTGGCCCCCCGTGGGAATCGAACCCACAACCCTGGTGTTGCAAGCGCCATGCTCTACCAACTGAGCTACACGGGAGCTAGCATGCTAGTTAGCTATGGCGTCATAGGATACGGTGCCCTGGGCGGTTTTCACAGAAGAATACTGTACCAAGTTAGCTGAATAAACTAAGATAGAGTCTATTCCTAGAAAACATTGAACCGCTGTAGTTTACAACAATTATAATTTCTAAAGTGGAAGTTGGGAGAGTTATATTTGAGTGTTTCAAATCAAATCAAATTTTATTGGTCACATGCGCCGAATACAACAGGTGC